TCAAAAATAAATAAATATCAGTTATGTTTCTGATAATAGGTTTTTAGTTATTCATTTTAAATTGTCCCGGTATTGAATAGGAACCAACATTTTGACCAGAATTGCAATTAAGTTTCAAGATTACAATTTATGAAATGGGAAAATATTTGATACAAAATTCATTTTGTTGAGGTCTCTTGTACGCTCTTGTTTGTTTTCCTATTTCTAACTTTTCCTCTATTGCTTTCTATGACCATCATATTTTTCCTATTGCTTCCCGATATAAGGTCACTATTGGAGATTTTTCTACTATTATTTGTGGTTCTATATTATATTCACAATTAAATTCTATTATTTGTGGTAGGGATACAAATGGATCAGATCATGATCCGATCTGAATCCAAATCCAGTCATATTTTGTCGGATTTGAATAACCCTCTGTCGGACTTTCGGACCGGATTCAGATCACCCCTATCCAATCTGAAAGGATCAATTCCAATTCAGCCTATACATATTTAATTAATTATAAACATATCTATTTATAAAAAGGCATGTATATATTAATATATTTTTAACATATTTATTTATAAATATGTTTATATTGCATTTTTTTGTAAATTCTTTATAAAAAGACATGTATATATTAATATCTATGATGAAAATAGTTGAACAAATTACTTATACTTTTTTTTTCTTTATATAAACTTTTATGTTTTTTCTTTTAACAATTTATTAAAATTTTCATAATTTGAATCAAATCGGATCAGATTTGGATATCCGGCATCCTTAAGGATTTGGATTCGAATTGCCACTTATGAGATCCGATCAGATTTGGATTCAAAGAGAAAGGAGGATCTCATCTTTTTATTTTTCTCATAAATATCTTTTTTATGAAAGATGTCTTATATTAAGAATAATGAAGATGCACAAGACCCCCCAGCTCAAAAAAAAGCACCAAATTGGGCTGCATTAAAAAGTTGTATGATCCGTATACCTCTCACACTTGAGGCATACACCTCCAAGGTATCAACGCCTCTATATGCCTTGAGCATGTTGTTCCATGTCTGCTCAACACTCTACTTCATACAGCATTAATGGCCTTACACATTACAACTGTTCTATAAAATTTTCCTTCTAGTCTAAGTAGGGATGGCAAATTTCCTCATCTAGTAAAAAGAAAAGGTGCATATGTGTGTGTGTATGTTATATGATTATATCTATGTTAGTCCTGTACAATTATAAATGCCACTACATATATACATTATATGTGTCAATTTCTATGTTAATCTCAGCTGTAGGTGTTGGATTGTTATTGTGTGTTGTTGGAATTTTATTATGTGAAAAATAATGGCATCATGCAAATTTTTTCAAGAAAAAGAAGTTTTTGGGTAATTTTTTATTCAAGCTTAATTTTTGGGTTTATCCATCATGATTTTTTTTTTGGAGTGGATACATGGCTCAAACCCAAAAATAAAAAAGTGGCTACTATGGTGCTATGTGAGTTGGATCAACATTCAACTCAAATAGATGTTAGTTAAGTGCTAAACCAATTGCGATTAATGATTTTTTTTCTTTCTTTTAAGTAAATATTTTTCAAAATCATATATGGGCTCCTATGCCCTTCAAGCCCAAAGCAAGCTTTTAATTTGAAAAAAAAAAAAGAACTTGGGTATTCAAATCCCTGATGAGGACCCATCCCCATCCAGGATCAGGGATAGAGGTTCATTTTTCTGCCCAGCAGGGACTGAGGATGGGGATAGGGAGTATAGCCTCCACCCCATTGCCATTACCAAGTCTAAGTGGTATCATCTATCACATAAGACTCTAGATGCACCCCCTCCATTTTACCCATCATGTTCTGATTCTATGGGCAACATCCCCAATCTCTCCCTTGTTGTGGATTATTGAACCAAGGTAAAAGAAGAGGTCATGTTGAGTTATCTCTTGGTCTCCAATGAATTAGAACTCTAAGACAAAGGAGTAAAAAGTCATTGGTTAAGTACTTTAGGAGTTGAGTTTTCTTTCAGTTAAACTATGATAGTGCCAATTCTCTAATTTCCATTTTTCTTGGTTCTAGTCAATGTTTTGAAAATTGGAATGGACATCAAATTGAAAGGACCCTACTTCATAGCTTACCATGGTTCAACCAATTTGACTACTGACATCACAAATATGTTCATTTCAAGAAAAGTGCACATTCTTGTTTCAACCACAATTCGACTGGTTCAATACCAATTTAAATGTGGTTCAATTAGGATTGACCAAAGTCAGTGGTTTCTGACCATATCCAAGGAAGTTCACCGCTAAGAACTAGAAAGAGGCCCAGTTTCAATTAAACATCCAGTCCAGTTTAATTTTCAAAATATTGGTTCTACTAAGATTGGTAACCCGTAGTGCCTGTAACTCTGTATGTATGCCATTAGTGCAAAAACATGGAAAATGATACAAGACCACGAATGATTTTCAGTGAGTGATTCCCAATCCCCACTGAACAAAGGATGCCCAGGGTTCTCCTCTTGTCTTCTTTTGTAAGTTTCCTAAATTCAGCCACTAGAGGACTGAGTTGATCAAGTAAATCTTGTTTTAATTATTTCAATTATCAACCTTTACATACTTCCTCAGTTCCTCTAGAGAAACTTGTCCATATCAAACCTTGGTAAAAGCCAGATTTGATTCAACCATCTTTTATATTGAAGGCCCATTTCTGTCCCATTAAAATATCCTTCAAAATTAGCACTAAAAACCCTAGTTGTCGATGTTCCCAATTTCATGAACTATCATTGCTTTGTGCCAAACCATCTCAGAATCCCTCCAAAGTTAGTTCCCTCTTTTAGACTACTCTAAAGTCTAAATACCATTGTAAAATAAACAATTCAAAGAAATTTCATTCCAAATCTCATCTTGCTGAATTGTTTCACTTGCTCTCTCTAAAAATTTTTGCATATTGCAGCATTTCGGCCTTCGGCCCTAAAGTAGGTTTGAAATTAAACCTTGCTCCCTGTAATTCTCTGTTTTTTTTTTTTTTTGTTGAAAAGTAAAGTAAGAATTTTATTAATCAGAAAAGACTCGTTACAACAGGAGAGCTAACCACAACTGACTACTCAGAACACAGAACCCAAATGGATTTAGATCTAAACAACTCAGGAACATTCAAGTTTTTAAAATTAGGGGCTACAGACACCCAAGAAATCAGCTTGCTAACCGCCTGCTGCACAATCTCCTCCGTGCTCTTTGATTTGTTGCTAAAGACTCTTCTGTTCCTTTCTGACCAGATTACCCAAATCACAGCCACAGGAATGGTTCTCCAAATTAATTTTCCTTTTTTCTTCAGACCTTGAATATCCCAGCAAAGCAGCAGATCTTGAACTGAATTTGGCATGACCCAACAAAGACCAACAGCTCCTAGAAAATGAAACCAGACTCTAGAAGAGATAGGGCAATGGATGCACAACAGAGAAGGGAGACCTATACAGATGCGGACTGGGCAGGATGCCTCGATGACAGAAGTTCAACTTCAGGAGTGTGCACCCTAGTTGGGGGCAACCTAGTCTCATGGAAGAGTAAAAAACAAAYAGTTRTGGCAAGATCAAGTGYAGAAGCCGAATATAGGGCCATGGCACATGGAGTTTCAGAACTTCTCTAGATCCGTTCTCTATTGGAAGAAATCGGTGTTCAGGCAGAAGAACCTATGATRCTATACTGCGATAACCAGGCAGCAATTAATATTGCTCATAATCCAGTCCAGCATGACCGAACTAAGCACATTGAAGTAGATAGACATTTTATCAGAGAAAGGGTAACTTCTGGAGAAATTTGTCTTCCATACATTTCTTCTGATCTGCAGCTTGCTGATGTCCTCACAAAAGGCATTGCAAAGAATAAGCTGGAGCATGATCTACGCAAGTTGGGGATGTATGACATCTACTCCCAACTTGAGGGGGAGTGTTGAGTGGGCCGACGTGTGTTTAGTTTATTTCCTTTTAAATTAAGATGTTGTTGGGCCTTGGGCTCATTAGTCTTTATTTTTTTAAAGAGTTGTAATTACTTAGGTTGAGTTGCCGCCCTACTTAGGGCATCTTTGTAATATCTCGTACTTAAGTTAATTATAAATAGAATGAGGGGCTGGCGGCTAGGGTCAAGCCAATCTATCCTAGTCGACCTTCTTCTCTTTTCTTCCCTTTCCTTTGTCTCTTGCTGAAATCCCCAACTTTCTACTCTTCCTTTCACAAGAAGCTTGGCCGATATCAGCACATAAGGTTTTCTACTTGGTGCACATTGGTACAGAAGGGGAAAAGCCTCTGCTAAAGGTCTGTCCAAAGACCAGGGATCTTTCCAAAATTTCAGCCTACCACCATTTCCCACCTTAAATCTCACACCTTCATAATCACAGGAAGACCAAAATTCTCTTCAACCTTCCATAAACCTGCCCCTTGCCCCATTGCTGCCATGTCAGCCGATTTCTCAGAAATCAGTTATGAGTTTGTTTCGTAGTGATTATCAGCAGTGATTTTTGTGTTTATGGGAATCACCGAATTTGCTAATTTCTCTTTTCAACTCAATTTTAATAATCATTTTCTGACCAATTTGCCRATTTCTCAGAAATCGACCAAACCAAACACCAAAATAATCAGCAATTTTTTGAATTGCTGATGTGGCACTGACATGGCGCCGATTTCTCATCTGTCCCAAACAACATCTAGGTCTCAACCCTCTAAAGTCTAAAATAACAATTCACTTTAACGGTTAAACCTTTTCATCAAAATTGCTCAGCCCCTAGATCATATAAGTACTGCATTACACTGGTTACAGAACATGTCATACAATAGACATGGGCACGTAAGAGGCCAAATAATTATGATTGGTTCTCAATGAAGATAGCTATTATTGCATCTCCCACGACAAATGCTTTTAACGGACAATTAAATCATCTATCTGACTAAATTTTGGTTCGTATGATATTCTAAAAATTTGTAATTGATATATTTAGTAATCAACACCTGAACAAATGAAAAGAGCTTTACCTTTGATAGCAAAGAACATATCGAGGATGCCATTGCCTGCATCACATCAACTGCTGAACCAACAGCATCCTTCACATTTTGGATATCTGCCTGTTGAAATAAAGAGCAAAGATACATTTTGTCAAGAACCATGTGCCCCAGTGGAGTGTTCAAGATAGCACAGTTCAATTAAGAATCTCAAGAAACAGACCTTTGCTCCACAAACAACTGGGAGGCGGAGAGTGCTAGCCTTCAGAGCTTCAATAGCACCCGATAAGGAAGTGAAGTGGTCTCTGTCCAGAAGAGACCACTCTTCCAAATAAGCCATCTGCATTCATCGTGTAATCAAGATTCAGAGGTAGATAAATGAAGAGTTAAAGGAGGGTAGAAACAACCCTGTTCCATGGCCCTGTAAAACTTGGAAAAACAAGGTTTTTTAATAAACATTTATGGAAGCTTATTAATCTAACACTTCCAAACAGCATCTCATGTGATGCTCATAAAGTCAAAGAAATCATTCTATAATCCTTGCATATTTGAGAATTGAAATACAAGTTCCTGATTTCTTTGTGATCTAAGTATCTAACATATGCATCATGCATACCCAGACCCAGATAGAAATGGATAAATAAGTGAATTTATTCAGCAGATTAGAAGCAATGGGTATTTGAAGATAAACCGTGATTCAGATACTGGTAGGTTTAAACGAATTCATTTTATGATGCTTTGACCAAAAAATAAATAAAAAACTGGTCCAGTTGGGGTTACACAATTTGGTAAATCTGTTATTCATGAGTGAGATATTTGAAGAGGATGCAATGCACCTGTTCAGTCAATGTAGGGTGAGAAAGGTTTCATTTGGTCCTAGTTTTTCCGGATATTTAGTCAATCAGAGTTCAGACCAAGATCAACTGCATGAAATCTTTTCTTGTTGACTTACTATTTCTGATGGTAAAAAGGTCAAAATTGTATGGAGCATGATACCAGACTTGTTGGGGAATATGCCAGGAGGGGAATAGAAGAATTCTTTATGTGAAGCCAAGCAATCACATTGTGGCTGGAGCATGTCAATTGATTATGGAGTGGTTATTGGCCATAAAGATTTGCATCAAAAAACAATTAGTGATCTTGTGGAGCAACATTTATAGTCCGCTAGTGCAAAATTTACAGCTCTACGGTGCTTTTGTGGTACCAGAACAGAATAACATATTTTTTGTAGGGTAGCAGATCCGATAATTTAAATGGTTCTAAAACCTTTCTCCCCAAACCAACCTTTTCTCTTTTTACTTTTCCTGAGTCTAAATGTGCCTCTCAAGTAGCATTTTGTGAATTTGCATGCTACGAAAAAACAAGTCACTTCATTTAACTTTTCCAGCTAGCATTAGGTTCTCTTGATACAATGTTTTATTTTATAAACAAAAACACTACAACTTACATAAAATGATGGATAAGTTGGTTATCCATGTGTTCATTCAGATGGATTTTGAGTTGGTCTATTGACATAAATATGTAAAACCTAATTTACTCATGGACGAATGGGGGGTTTTGTTGCAACTAAACCATCCTAAATCAAATAGTGCTTTGCAATTTCTTAAATCAGCTTTTCTCAGAGTCAAGTTGATGTTAGGCTAGTGCTGGCTCCTTGGGGKAGTTCAATAGCTTTGAGGTACTAAAGAGTCTTGTGCTTAACATTTCATTATGTTTTCTTTTGTCAATGTTATGACATACTGAAAAACGCTTCTTTTTCATTGTTATCAAACTTCTGCAGGCCTGCAAGGTCTTGTCAAAACCATTTTCATATTCATTTTGTTACACTGATAATGAATAAAAGGCAAAGGAAGAAAAGTATCAAATGAAGGATAGGATGCACAAGTAACATTGAGCAAGTCATTACCCTAAACCTAAATGAAAGCAGTTTCAGAGAAAAAAAAGGAAAGAAGAATAAATCAAAGTCTAAAGGTTCAACAGATCAACATAAGAAGTAGAACCAACTGGAATGAGCCTATAGATCTTACTTGTCCTTTAAGGATGGAAGTGAGTTTCATGTTTTGCCTCAACAATTGTAGCTTGATTTTCTTAACTGTGACTGAATTACGCAATTCTGAAGTGGTTGCCCATGCATTATATAAATGTTTCTGGAGAGAGAAAAAGTAAACATATATTTAGATGAACAACAGAACTAAGGTTTCATTATAGAGAGTTTGTCTAACCAAATCATTAAAACAAAGGATAAGCATCAATAAATGCTATGAGGCAACCAATATTCTGTTTGAAGTGGTAGTAAAATAGCCTGAGCTTTGAACATGAAATGGACCCAGCCTTGGATTTATGCCAATGCCATACAAAAACAAACCACATAAGAAAAATTGTTAACCGAGACACGAGAGAAGATAAATAGTTCATATAACCAAGTATTTTAAGATTAGCAGGTCCACACCAATTAGGAAAAGGAAAGGATTGAAAGAACTGTCCACATTCCATAACCTTGGACAAGTTCTGGTTGAGACATTACATAACTGATATTCAATATTGTATCTTAAAACAGTAAGCCCTTTCACTTTCTAAATTTAGATCAAGTAACTTGAATTATCAAATCCCAAAGAACACTTCATTTCATGGCTTCCTTTTGATGAAAAAACTAAACCTTAAGGCTACACTATTGTAAGTTTAAATGCTTACTCTTTACCCTTAGGAAGCCAGGGGGTACCATTCTCTCTCATGAAAAACAATTTATTGAGTGTTAAGGTAGTAAAGCAAAATACTAAACTTAAAGTCAAATAACTAAAATTCCTTGAACTCCACAAAATAGAAGATCCATTAACATCAAATGTTCTTTTTGTCAAAGTTATACCATTAGTGCACCTTTATACACCCAAACAAATAGAGAAAAGGAAATGATACAGTCCCTTCTACAAGTGTACATACACACCTAGCTAACATCAATTCTGTGAAGTTACTAGGAATGGCCCCCAAACTCCCAACAAAAGCACCATAGAGCGAGACCATATTTTAGCAGTAAAAGCACGTTTAAGAAGTAAATTGGAGACTAACTCGTTACTCTCACTATGCATGACACATTCATGTTCAATTGGGAGTTCATGGGATATAAGGCGATGATTCATGATTGATAAAATATTATCTACCAAAGCTGTCAACATGAATAAAACCACTTTTGTTGGAATAATAGGGCTTCAAAATGAACCCATCAGGAATCAAGTTCTCCCATAAATCCCTTAAAGCAAAAGCAAAGGATTTTACAAAGATCCCTTGACGTTCCCTGACCACCACCTTCCTTGGAATTTGAGGGGAGAACCCAACTCAAAGATGAAAAAAGATTAAATTTGGATCCTGATCTGGAGGACAGGAAAGTTCAATCTGCAATTGTTTTGGGGTTTGTTGAATGTTCTTTGCAACTGTTTCTGCTTGGTAAGTTGCACTCTTCTCTTGGTACTTGTTCCTTTAGGTTGTGTTTAGTTTGAAGGAAATGGTAGGGAAAGGAAGGGAAAGGTAAAGAAATCTTTACAAACCTTGTATAGGTTTTCCTACCTTTTCCTTCAAACCTATACAAGGTTTGAACAACAAGTTCTCATTGATTTTTCCCCATCTTTTTTTTTTTCCCTTTTGAGTCACAAACAATAACATTTTACCACCATGACACTATTTGTAGCCTTCCCCCTTCCCCTTCTTTATTTAATATAACTATATAAGTTCGTTCTGAAAAACAAATGACAGGGATGGACTTTAGATAAAGGAATTTCATGCTCAGAAATGACATGTCAGGATTTGAGCCTTATTTTTGAACTCCATATAGCATCTTAAACAGAGTGAATGCTACAACTCCAAAGATTTGGGGTCACCTGGTGGTGTGGGATAACTATATCATTACTTGTGAACTTTTGAACTACAAGAGAAAACTTAAAATATAACTGCTTCAATAAACTCTATTCACCCATTTGCTAGATAAATTGTCTATAAAATTGTATTTAGAAGACTTAAGTGGAGTATTTTTTATCAGTATTGAGTGAGGTAAAATTACTAAAATTTTACAAAATTTCTCCCAAGCCTATGGTTGCTCCCATGACACATGGCATTGTTGTGACACCCTACAAACATTAAGCTAATTATTCCAAACCCTACTAAAAGGTGTACAAAGCATCTCTCCTTCAGAATAGATAGTGTGTCTAAAGCAAATTTATCCATGAATTAGTTGCATCTTCCCAAGATGAAGCAACTCATGCTTCTTCCTACCTTCTGATAGTTATCCATGCAATTAATGTCACATCTAATTTATGATCCATAAATAAATGTCATATCTAGTTTATGAAGAAACAAAATGGTCCAATTTGACCAATTTTCATTTCACAACAAACAATACCAAGAGCAACTGTGACATTATACCAATCTCTTAATTCCTCGGCCTTTTCTTCATGGAGTAGAAAGAAACTGGAAGTTCCTAAAGTTTGTTACAACCATTTGGGGTATGAACATCGGTGATGACAAGGCTGAAAGAAATTGCTAGGCGAAACGCTTGCATACCAAAAATCATTATGCATCAAACTAAGCCTCGAGCATGTATATAATACATTATCCATTAATTAACACAAAACAAAAAGGGATACGTGGAAAACAAAATAGGCACTATGAATTTAGAGAGGCATACCTCTGCAGTCAGCCTCTGCAACAACAAGGCAGCATCTGCTCTTGCATTTACAAAGCGCCACTGCAAATGGCGGTTATACAGAAGCCTCAAGAGATGTGCATCAACAATCCGGTTCTCCCCCATCTTCCCTCTCCGAACATCAACAGAAAAACTAAGAATTGAAGGCGTATTAATGGAATGGCCACTCAACGTGGCAGTTGCTACATTCCTCATCCGTGACGGGCTGGGCATTCCCCTGGACGGAGAAGAGGTTGAATTCGTCATAAGCTTACTAGGGGATGCAGGCCTAATGTGCCCCCGGAGAGGTGATGACAATGCCCTGCTACTGCCACTTGAGACTGTTCGAGGTGACGATATGGGACTATCACTTAGTGATTTCTTAGATGGAATGAGTTTGGGAGGGGCTGTTGTCCTTAAGCCAGTATTTGTCGACAATGGCGAACTAGGGTCTTGCAAACGCCGCAATCGGCTGTTTGTCTCCTGCCAAAACCTCGCAGGGACACTGATTCCACGAGGCCCAGTCCGAGCTCGAGAAACCCCGTTGCATTCCTGTGCTCCAGAAGTGCTGCCAGAGGAGACACTCTCGGTATCAGATGCAGTGAGATCGGAGGGCAGTATTGATCCATTTGCCAAATTGGCTTCCGGTGCAAGCTGAACAGTCTTCACCAAGTCGACATTGTTTGAATCRCGATGTAATCTACCATCAAACGATGCCCTCCTACCCTCTTCGATCATTGATTGCTGCAATGCACGAACCACAGTGCCAGATCCAAGGAGTTTCTTCTTGTCACCGGTGCAATCCAAACTTCTTGTCAAGGGATTCACCTGCCGGGCTCTACCCGGCCAGCGATGCTGATCAATGGGTCTTGAGTTCTCCGTCTGATCTCCTCCCCCAGCTCCAGCCCCATCAACCTTCCCTCTCAATAGCGTCGTCTTTCTCCTTTCCGGCGTAGCCTTCCTTGCGTTACTCAAATTGGGTGTGGGAGTGGCCTTAGTCTTACTAATCGGTAGTGAGAATGATTCCCCTTGAAACGAAACTGACAAACTCCGGGTAGAAGTGAACAACATCTTCGAAGCCACTGAAACTTCAGCGGCATTGCCCGTTCTCGAATCGGGTAGCGGCGTGGTGGGTCGAGGAGTAACCGGACGTCTCCTCTCGGCCGACTGAGACCGTTTGATCACAGAGGGTAACGGTGTCGAAGCTGCCATCGAAGTGGTGGGTCTCGAAACAAGAGGAGATGGACACCGTCTGAAAGAAGAGGAGGAAGTTGAAGTGGTGGAAGTGAAAGGGGACATGTACCTAGAAGTGATTTCTCTGGATTTGGGTCTCCGAGGACCGACAACGCCATTGTCTCTTTCGGAAGGTAAAAGGGGAGGTCTGGTTTGGTTTTGATGAGTCGCTTCTTGTTGAGAGGAGGTCTTGGGGTTCGGTGGGTTAGGTGAGGCATTAGCAGAAAAAGCAGCCACCATCATCAGACGAATTGAAAAGGAGAAAAAGAAATCTCCACTGTCTTCACATCTCCTCTCAGACAAGAACAAAAATTAATCTGAAAACCCACAATTCATCTGATTATCTTCTCCTCTCTAGCCACCAAAACCTGCAAAACAAAGAAGACTAAAGAAACCCAGAAAGGAATTTTAGAGGATTAAACATGTGTAAGAAAAAGCCTTCTCTGGTCTGGTCTGTTTTGCGGCTTTTTTGAGAGTGAGAGAGAGAGAGAGAGAGAGAGAGAGAGAGAGAGAGAGAGAGAGAGAGAGCAAACGTGAATATGGGTGTGGGTGTGACTTGTGAGATGGGAGAGGTGTGTTTTATTAGGGAGCAGGAACAGAGACGACGGCCCGCTACGCTTTTCCGGCGAGGATACACGCAGGAAAGAGAGCGAATCGGAAGTTGATTTGGGCGAGAATTAAGAGCAAAAATTGTAGTCTTTGTAGTCATTGGGAGTAGAAATCAAGGAAACGAAATACACATGATGTAATTGCTCTGAAGTTTGAATCCTTAATCAATACCCTACGATGAGAATATTGGGTGTGTTATTTGAAAATATTATACTATTTATAAGAGGTCATATCACGAACAAACGATTCCAATCCAAGAGCAAGGGTTGTTTGTCTTCATCAATGGTTGAAAGCAGGTGGGTGTATCATCATGGCCCCACGAAACATCTAATGAAAATGAAGGGGGAGCTTGCGTTTTGTGAAGCTTTGGAGAGACGTTATGTTAGGTTTGCTAAGTGACGTCTTATGAAAATCTCAAAAATATATTATTAGAAGATCCTCTTCTTATCATTATTTTTTTTGGGGACGGTAGTACCCTTCTGCTTTGAGTAGGTAAAGCTACATACATAGATTTGGGCATGGGGTGCTTTGTCATTTAATCAGTATGTCCCCTAATTTACTCTTATCCGATATATACATATATGCCAAAAAAAAAAAAAAATCGTACACATGATATATTTAAAGCCATGACTCGTGAAATATAAAACAATAATGAACAGAAAAACCTAATAAGAATAACAACTCTAATAAATCCGAGCAAAAGGTAAAGGGTGGAATTGTGTAAAGCAATAACCGATGGGGTTCTCTTCAAGAATTATGATTGGTTTTGTGTTTGAAACAAAAAGAAAAAATGAGGAGTAGAAGAGATAGAGTTTGGAGAAAATGGCCTAAGAAGGCTTAGATTTATTATAGATTTTTTAAATAAATATATATATATATATATTTTATTTTGAGAATTGGAGAAACCTTTAGGCTATATTTGGTTTGAAGGAAAAAGTAGGGAAAGACAGAAAAATCAATACAAGGTTTGTAAAGGTTTTTCTACTTTTTCCTTCCTTTCCTTATATTTTCCTTCAAATCAAATATAGCCTTACTAAGGCTAAGGCTATGTTTGGTTTGAAGGAAGGAAAATGTAGGGAAAATAAGGTAAAGACAAGAAAACATATACAATGTTTGTAAAAATTTCCCTACCTTTTCCTTCAAACCAAATACAGCCTTAGAGAGTGACCCTTTACATTTTAGTTCAAGTTTTGGAGGAACCAAGGATCCACTTTATTACATTTTTTACCCTACCTCTACTTAATAACTATATAAATAATGGTTTTAACAAAAATAAAAGAGTGGGGGGGACCACCTACTGATATACTTGTCTCCTCCATGGATTATATTCAATTTRAGAAAAAATGTAAAACCTATAAAACTTCAATTTAGCCCAAGTTAGCTTGGTTGACATACCTATCCCAACCACATTGCTCTAAATAACTTGCTACAGTGCTCATATTTATTTATCTATTGATGGATAAACTGAACTTTGAACTTTGTATTAGCAAGATCATCATGTATGTCACAAAGTTTATTTATCAACCAAGAGGGAGGACTATCTCACCAACCTGCTTAGACCTTAACCCAAAGGATCGATCTTGGCCTTTTGAGCTATTTCACGAGCTTCTTTGTTTGATGGCCTACATATAACAACCCAATCCAAAATATCATCAACCAAAACTATGTAGGGAGATGGAAAAAAAAAAGTACAATAGGACTAAAAAGACTGCTGATAATAGCTTAAGGTCGCGTTTGGAATCAGTGTAAAACATCATCGGTGTAAAAATACATCGATAACGTTTTACACTGAACCGTGAAAGTGGTCGTTGTTTTTTAAAAAATACAATGGGTGGAAGAATGTAAAGTTTTACATCAATAAAATCAATGTAATTTTTACATTGAGTATCAATGTAAAACTTTATACTTGATGAGGTTTTACATTGATTATCAACGTAAAACTTTACTCCATCCAAATGCATACAAAATTGCACTAGAATGGAGTTTTATATCAATTATAATTATACGCTCCTTCCAAATACCTACAAAACTAGAGTAGAGTTTTACATCCATTCTTGATTTACATGGCTTCCAAATGCAGCCCAAATAGTTTAAGTGAATGACTTATTTCTTGTCTTTTCCTGCATAAAAATAACCATATAGTAAAATATTTAGGATATAATAATCCATCTAACATGCCTTTCAGTCACTGAAGGCCAATAGATGCCACAATTTAGGGTAGGGAGGTTGACATACAGCAGGATCGGTAGCAAAACACTTGATTCATTAGGGCTTTTGCTTGTAAGCAATTGATAAGGAATGAAGCAACTAGGCCAATTAGGGCTAGCTACAAGTAGATCCCATCATATCAGATAGACCCATATCCAATTTGATTCTTTAACCTTCATTTTGGAATTGAAGTCAGATATTGAAATCTTATATCATGAAAAAAAAAAGATCAGAAATAACTTGTATGAGACTTTAAGCTCTGGCTTTTTTAGTAAACATTTATACAACCATTAAAAGCAACTTTACTGATAAATACAATATAAAATGCAAGTAGCTAGATATGAGCAAATTTATTTAAATATATCATCAAATTGGATATAGGTGGGTGGATATTTAGTCGATCCAGTGATTAGTTGATTGAATTTATACACCATCGACCAGCAGATTGGATTTGAATTTTAATTCAAACAAACAAAAGCCAATATACTGTTTGCAGCCCTACCAAAAGTCCAAAACCAATTTAGAGGATGACTGGAGATCAGACAAGGACAATCTTATTCCCATGAGAATCCTACTTTGTTTATCACTCATTGGCTCATAAAAATAATAGAGAAAGTTGTGCAATTCTCCGTTATTTGAATTTTCAAATCAATGATCAAATCATCAGCACCTCTGGTCTAAAGAATTTGAACCGAGAACGGAGAACCCTAATCGATCAGTTATAATTATGACTTAAAATCAGGATCAAGATGAAAGATGTCCAAATTCTCCATAGGAACCAACAGCATGGTCCTGCTGATGTGCGTGGGGGGGCTCATGTGTAGGAAGCTGACATGGCATATCATGATTGGCCTAGAACTGTAGACGATTCCAGTACTCAACCTAGCTAATTAATATTGACAATTAATGTGAGAAGAATTGAAATTAAGGAGCAAGAGGTGGCCTGTCTATCTATATCTATAGATATCCATATGGGATATGACCATGTGTAGAATTATAGTATGTGCTCAGGGTCAGGGGTGTTTTCCTTCCAACCTCCGCCGTATCAGAAACCATGGTCGCAGATCCACACATAGTTGTGAAAACTGATGCATTAACACCCAAAATGTCTTGTCCTTCTTGGACCACTCATAAAAAGTCCTTTCCTTGCCTACTACTCAATTGAATAAAGTTTTAGTTTCCTTCCTTTTTATTTTCTCTGAATAGATAATTAAATATTAATTCTATATTGTTAATCTTGCATATTCTTTTACCGAAAAAAAAATAAAAAAAGCATGCATATATGGAACCACATTGGTGAAAGTGTCAACGGGTCAGGTTTGTCTCGATACAAACCCGATGTAAAATCACTCCAATCCAAACCCATTCAATGAAACTGAACCATACAGTATGTTGATGCTTGGTTTCGTTGGTGTTTGTTGATGCTTGGTTTGGTTAAGGGCAATAAAGTAATTTTACTCCCAAGTCTTAAGGGAAGGCCGAAGGTTTTGAGGGTTCCGAGGAGTTAAGTTGAGGCCGAGGCGTATCGCTCCTTGAGATACTGTAAAAGCCGAGGGCTGGTATCGAGAAGGGTGTTTGAGGGAAGACGAGGCGTGGTTCCCACAGTTATGAACCTGCAAGGGAGAAGGTGTCAGAGGCCTCGGGTGGTTACCTGAGGCGAGGACTCTGACGATCAAATTAGTATGTGTGCAAGGTAAGTGATGAGTTTGGAGTTAAGGGGTCCAGACAAAGTCTCAGATAGCACTAAGTCCTTAGTGGAGAGAGCGCTAGAGATCACAAAGATTTCGAGTCGAAATCCCTTACCTTGTGGGGGGTGCCTTGCATTTATAGCCGGATCTGCCAAGGGGTAGTTGGGCTCGGATGGTCCAGATGCGAGCCATACAAGGGCCTGGCGAGATGTTCTGCCAATGCCACATGGTGCCCTACGACTGGGTCTTCCTGGTCCGCGTCAGGTAACCTTGAGCACCCTCATGTATATACCAATGTTTTAAAAACCGACTTGGACCAAAACCTTTTTGAACACCAGTTTCTGGGTAAGCAGTTCAAATGTCTGGTCCGATTAGATGATCTGTTGCAATTTTAAAAAGTAAAAAACAAAAATGATAAGAAAACATTATTTAGGTTGAATGGGTTGATGGTTCGATCACCTGGGTCAATGAATCATTGACTAGGTCAACAGTTTTTGGTAAAAGACTGGGTCCAGGGCCATGAATGAAATGGAACCGATTGCCTAAATAGTTTTTGGGCCAAACGATCCAACCATCTAGATTAATAGCGGTTCAAAAACCATGGTAGAGAGAGAGAGAGAATTCTTCATTTTGGGGAGCTTATATGGTTTAGCAACGCAAGTCTTTCGATCAAAGACAATTAGCTTGCTATGGTCGTGCCTTTGCTCAGGCAATTATTTCATGTCTCCTTAGAGGCTTAGAGCCTTAGACTTCCCTTCTCTCCCTCCCTCCCTCTCATGTGAAATGATTGTTCACCGTTTACATTTTGGAAAGATGGTGTGGTTTTCTTTTTGCAATTATTTTTGGCTCCTGTTCCTCTTCATGATTTTTCTTCTGAGATTGTTAGTTGGTGCATATTAATTTCCTCTTCAAGCCTCCATGGGGCTTCTTGTTTTGTTCCCTTAAGATAAGGAAAGCTAAAACAAATAGGATTAATTCTACTGCAATTCCGAAGCCTTTTTTCTTGTCATCTTTTTGTGCATTTCCTTTTCTTTGATTCTTTATTCGGGTGCGCAAAAAATTTATCCAACTTGAAAGAAACATGCAGATTCTGAGAAGGAAAAGAAATATTGTAAAAGAAAAAAAAAAGATATTCTTCATGAGATGAACAAGAAAAGAAAAGGAAGAAAAAAACTAAAGCACCCCCTAAACTTGAAACTGGGGCTC